TGGGAGGCGCGCCTGCAGGAGACGCTGGGCCCGCACTACGTCATGCTGTTCTCTGCGGCCCACGGGGCGCTGTACCTGTCTGTGCTCATCCGCAGGGACCTCATCTGGTTCTGCTCAGGTAGGTGGCCCAGCTGCACCGCGTCCCCTTCCGTGGCAACCACGGGGAATCGATCGGCTATGTTGGGACTCAGCGCTCTTCCCCTCCCTGCAGAAGTGGAGAGCGCCACAGTGACCACACGCATCGTGTCCCAGATCAAAACCAAGGGCGCCCTGGGTGTCGGCTTCACCTTCTTCGGCACCTCTTTCCTCTTCATCACCTCGCACTTCACCTGTAAGTCCTGCCCCAACACTGGGTGCCATCTGCCAGAGTCAGGCTGGGGGCAGAGGATGCCGGATCCCTCACTGGCCTCCCAGTACCTAAGAGGAGACCTGACGGGGGCCTCCCATCCAGATGGGCTCTGTCCTGAGCTTGGAAAGGTCTGCTGGGAGACGCTGTCAGCCTGGTGGGCCGGGTCCCCACGTAGATGCCGTGTGATTAGAGCACTCTCAGAGGGCAAAGGGGGGGTCTTTGCCCAGGACGTACCCCCCAGGTGCCCAGGCCTGGGTTCAGAAACCTGCCTCTGTGGAGGCCCTCACCACACCATCCTTGCAGCTGGAGATGGGAAGGTCAGCGAGAGGCTGGTGGACTACAGCAAGACCATCCAGGGCCTCGCCCTGCCCCGGAACGTGCCGGACACCAGCCCCTACCGCTCCGACGCAGGTGAGCGGCCCGGGCAGTGCTACTGGGAGATGCTTTACCCCGGAGACGTGCAGCAGCTGCCTCGCTCCCTGGATAGTTCAGTGGGGACGGACTGTTCAGAGCTTTTGAGAATCGAGGTCAGGAAAATCTGGAGAGTCACAGGGCTTGGTGCCTGCCCACCCCCAAGTAGTGACCATGCGCACCTACTCAGCCAGGCCAGGCAGAGTCCACGCAGCTGCCAGCCCGGGTCTGATCCTCGCCGCTGCCTCCCGTCTGTGCTGTGAGAAGCTGGGAACCCGAGGGCAACTATAGCCACTTGAAATGAAAGAAGGAAAGTCACAAACTCAAACATGACCCCAGAATGCCACGGAGTCTGGCCCTCACAGCCCTGAGCCCCCAGGACAGCATTCAGGGCTGCCACCCTCTTCCCCAGGGTGTCCTTGCCCCACTGTGGCTCTGGTGGGGGTGGGGACACAGACCAGTCTCTGCTGCCAAGGCCTGGGGAGGGCAGGGCTCATGTGCTTCCCTCTCGCGCCCCAGCGGATGTCACCACCCGCTTCGATGGGGTGTTCTGGTTCGGAGACTTCAACTTCCGCCTGAGCGGTGGGCGGGCGGCGGTGGAGGCCATCCTGAAGCAGGACCCGGGGGCGGACGTGCAGGCCCTGCTGCAGCGCGACCAGCTCACCCGGGAGATGAAGAGAGGTGGGGCCCAGGGGAGGCTGACGCCCGGGACAAGGGGTGACCCTCCTGGGGTTGGGGTGACCCTGGGCTCCATGCTGTCCCAGGGTCCATCTTCAAGGGCTTCCAAGAGCCAGACATCCACTTTCTTCCGTCGTACAAGTTTGACATTGGGAAGGATTCCTACGACACCACCTCCAAGCAGAGGACTCCGTCCTACACGGTGAGCCCGGGCTGGCCCCCATGGGGCGGACTGGATACCCTCTTGTCCAGGGCAAGGACCTGGGTGAGCCAGCACCCAACCTCAGCTGCGGGCCAGTGACCACTCAGCTCTGCCTCCCATGGGGCTGCCCTCCAAGTGTCGTTCTGAAGGGGGGCTCGCTGGCCCAGAGGAGGCCTGGCACGGGGCAGGTGCCCACACGGTGGGCTCTGGGCAGGCGCTGGGAGTGGGTGCAGGGTTTGAATCTGGGCAGGAGATGCTGCCCCAGAGCAGTGAGGGAGAGGCCTCAGGCATACCTGGCCCCGTCCAGGGCCCAGATGCCCGTTGTAAGCAAGGCTTGGGGCTCGGGCTCCGGGCAGGGCCTCCCGAGGGTGGGAGTTGACTCGGGACTCTGCTCAAGAGCAGCTGGGGTGACGGGCAAGCAGGCCAAGGCCCGTAGCAAAGCTGCCTCTGGGTGTTCCGGGCAGGACCGGGTCATGTACCGGAGCCGCCACAAGGACGACATTCGCCCCGTCAAGTACGCCTCCTGCCCCGGTATCAGGACGTCCGACCACCGCCCCGTATACGGCCTGTTCCGGGTCAGAGTGAGACCAGGGAGAGACAAGTCAGTATCCCGCCAGGCCTCCTCCCTCTGTCTGCTCCTGAGGTGGGGTGGGGGGGTGGATGGGGGGCTGGGAGTGTGGTGTGGCTCCTCGGGTCCCGCAGCCCCACGTGGGGGCTGCTGGCATTGGTTGTCTGAAGTGCTCGATATGCAAGTGACGTGCCAGAGGGTGGGGACCTCGCCCGGAGCAGCCCGAGGACAGCAGGGGTCACCAGCCCCCGCAGGGGCCTTCCCGCCACAGGCAGGGTCTGGCACCCTTGTGGGGGGAGGCCTGCAGGTCCAGGCGGCCAAGGGAACCCCTGGGCCCCATTCCTCCACGCGCCGCCGCCCGCAGGAAACACCACCCAAGCAGGAGCGGCTAGGAGGCGCCCTCCTGACGGCTCCTTCCCCCACAGCATCCCGCTCGCCGCTGGCAAGTTTGACCGCGAACTGTACCTGATAGGAATTAAAAGACGGATTTCCAAAGAGATGCAGAGACAGCAAGCGCTCAAGAACCAGCACTCGAGTACTATCTGTACTGTTTCTTGAGAAGTTTGCCGAAGGAGGGGGATTCGCCACCTGCAACGTGGGAGGGTATTTGGCCCAGACTCCCTGGAAGAGAGAGGAGGTTGCCATCTGGGACCTCTCCCTGTCTTTGGATCAGGATGAGCCACTCCTGGAATGGGACCAGCCCGTGCGTACTGACTCACCACCCCCGGAGCTCCCCTCACAGGGCGGCCCGCGCACAGCCCGACGCTGGCCTGCCCGCCCACGGTCCCTGTCGGCCTAGGCGTCAGGGCGGCTTCAAGCGGCTCGCAGGCTCTCCACCCCACCGCCAAGCTGCCACCTCCTCCGGCCTGGCTGCCGAGCCCTCACCTCCGTTTGCATGTCCAGATCCACAGCCTCCCTGCAGCCCCTAAACACCAGCCAGGAGCTGCCCGTCTTGTCTGAGCTCAGGGCGCCCAGTAGTGCTGGGGAGGAGGCTGCCCGGGGCTGGGTGACCCTGGGATCTCGGATCCCACGTCAGGGACCACAGACAGGACCCGGCTGAGGCTGGGATGAGGAGGGGCCGGTGGTTCAGGGCCACAAAACCACCTCCCTCTCCTCTCTTGGTCTCAGTAATTTCAGACCATTTTCAGAGGCGAATGGCATTCATATAAGAGGTGAGTTTCCCGGTCAAAGAAACCGTTAGAAGCTTCTAATGTCACCACCTGGCCCGCCTCGGCCAGCACCCCACCACGTTCCAGATTTCTTCTTCCTCAAAGGATTTAGAGCCCATCATTGCTTTGTGTCTTAGCCCATCTCTTAAAAACAGTGCAGGCTTTGAATGTGGGAAAATCTAGGGGCATTCAATCTAGTCTCTTAAATTATTTATTTTTCAGTATTTATATTTTTAAATAAATACATATATTGACTCTCAAACTCTCTCTGGCTAAAGGTTGAGTCCTAGAAAGAAACAGTCTGTATGCACACCCTGTTCTTTCAATGTTCTTATGAGGAGAGGCTGTCACATTCAAAGGCAGCATGTTTGGTCTCACGTGATCTACCTCTGCTGCCTGTGCACCCACAGCCTCGTCTGCTGCCCCCAGGTAAGTGTTCACTGAAAAAGGGCTTCTGGGGAGACCAGAGTACTTCAGACTTGAGTGAACCATGATGAATGATGGAAAGTCAATTCCAAGAAGTAGGCTATCAAACTTTTATTAGCGTCAGCTTCCAAAACGTGGAATGTAGATTTTAAAGCAATGCACACCCAATCTTTTGGTACAAGTGGGAGAAATTCCACTGAGAAGGCAGTCAATCCCATCTAATCTTTAGAAACTGTTCAGATTGTCTGAATGTGTAAAATTGTGCTCAGAAGAATGTGCGTTTGAGTTTTGAATCAATTGTGGTCACAGGGCTTGAAATGAGTAAGATTTTATGGATTCTTTCTGGGTGTTTTCTCTGACCAAAATCACGGAAAAGAGATTTAATGTGACACGGACATGTGTTAGCTTTGAGACTGAGCTTCATGTGGCTGGGGGGCCATTACATACACCTGATGGGTCCAAAGTGAAGCAGTTACTTAGTACCAGCCATCAGTTTAGACGAATGGGGATCTTACTTGGAAAGTGAGGTTAAAGCCCAAATTAATGCAAATGAAACTGGTGACTGTCTGGAAACTGAGCTTCATAAAGAAGCGTGGAACACAACCAGGCTTGAGGGCGGTTTTTAGAGCCCAGCTCTTTTCTCAGAAATGTGCCTTGAGTCCTGCACGGCCAGCGCAGGCTGCCGCCAGAGGTGGGGGTGCTGACAGGGAAGCCGCTGAGGATGACAAAGGTGCACTCGTGCTCAGGAATGGAGTGGACAACCCATACCGTGGGTGTGCTGGAAAGGTGGCTAGGAAAAGCCCCCCTCCCCCAGCGAGAGGGAGGGGCGCGGCACCCAAGGCACAGAAGTGCCCGGCCTGGGGGGCTGTGGCGGCTGGCAGAGAAACCAGCCCTGCGTGAGTACCAGCTTCTAGGAGGCTCATTAGGAGTCGAGTGCAGCCCAGGCAAGTCCATCTGAACGTACCTCGGGGGCACAGCCCACTCCTGGCCTGTCTGCCACGCGCCTCCCCCACTCCCGCGGTGAGGACTTTAAGGCTGCACTGCAGGACCACGCCTTTGACTCTCAGGCTCCCACCCCAGTGGACGGGACTGCGAGGGGAGCGCGGAGTCAGCGCCGGGCCCAGACGCCTCCCACCCAGGAGTTGGAAAGGGATGGAAATGGAACAACAGGCCCTGGCAGAGTGAACAGACGAGAAAGGCGATGCTCACGTGTTTATTTTTTCTTGTACCCCCCCCACCCCTCCAAGCTGGACTGCAGAGCCTGCGCCTCTTCACACTTCAAAAAATACAATTTGGAGATGACTCCTCTATAAAACTGCGGTCCAAGTGCAAGCTGCTGACCACCAGGAAGCCGCCTTCTGAACCACGGCAGCACGGGAACAGCCCAAGGCAGCCAATGCACGTGTCCAGGCCCCGGCCTCCCACATGGAACCCAGGGCCTGTGTGTGTCTGAGGCCCCCGAAGTGTCCTGGGTCACCAAGGTCGCCAGACCTTTTGAGCTCCTCACCCTTCATCATGTTCACGGGCTTTGCTGTTTCCACCTGTCAGTTGTAAGCACCCCACCTCCCCCACCCCATGCACATCCACACCTCGGAGGTCGGGCAAGAGGGTTCACAGTGCTGGGTCAAGCTGGACAACCCTCAGGGAGAGAAGCGGGTGCTCACGTTGCCCCGGGACCCACCATGGCACTCAGTGTGGGCAGCACAGGCCTCTCGGCAGCGGGCAGGGTTGACAGCCTGCTGGCCTGAGGAGACGGCTGGGTGCTCCCCCACCCAGGGACTGCCAGTCCCGGAGACCTCATGGAGGCCCCCTCCCAGCGAAGCTCCTTGTGGAGGTGTGGAGACCGACCTGGTCTGACTACAGTGGTGACTGTAACCTCTGTGCTTCACCTGGTGTCCAGCTGCAGTCGTGGAGAGAAATCTTTATTCCACTGATTGGCACGTTCAATTCTGAAGAGTTGTGCTCTGGTGACATTAAATAGGTTCACTGATGTTTAGGGAAAAAAGCCCGAGAGTGCACCATTTATGAATGTTTGCTCTAAAGTCACATCCCAAGAAGCACATAAAAAGGTGCTAACAGCTCTGGGTCTGCGGGTCCCAGGGCCTCTATCGGAAGAGCCGGTACATCCTGGGCAGGCGCCCGTCCTTGCTGGACAGCGCCGCCTGCACGTGCTCGTATGTCGGCAGGTCAGTCAGGTCCCCCAGTGCGGCCACTGCAGGCTTCCCCCGCAGCATCTTAGAAGCAACTCTCTTGATGTCTTCTGGCTTCACATCACCTGGCACAGGGAACAAAAAAGACATTGGGGGACACGTGACTCCTCCACGATTCCAGTCCTCTCCACGCAGTGGCTGCGATCGCTAAGCGGACTGAGGGGTCCCCAATCTCCCATCACTTCACCACCTCAGGACCCCAGAGGGTCCAAATGCAACTGTGAGTGGACTCCGTGAATCGGTGAAATTTCTTAGGAATGGGGAAGTGTCTTTGGTTTAAAATTACGTACTTTCAAATGCGTACAGACATGCCCAACCCAACAAGAGTTAATACAATTAAAAAAGAAAGGACCCCCTCGTCTAATGAGTTACCTACATGACGAATCTACAGGGGAGGGAAAAAACAAAATCCTCAACCACACCCCTGGGAACACGCCCACCAGTAGGCTTATCTTCTATGGAAGACAAGGCCTTGGGGAGACGGGACTGTCATACTGAAGTGACTGAAGGGATCTCCAAGGAAGGACAAGGGGCCACGCGTGGGGGGCAAGCACTGTCCCAGCAGGACTCCACACTCAGGAGACCCCAGGTTCCTCGTCTCCACAGAGTGGGAGGCCAAGCCCTTGTGGGCTTGCAGACCCTTCGACAATCTGATGAAGCTAAAATCAGCCTGTCCCACAATGCATCACAAGCAAATCAAGTTTGGCATACAACTGGGAGAAGTTCCAGGGCCTCCTGAAGGTCACTGGTGGGAGGCCTCAGACACTTGGAGACCCGACCCCACCACAGAGCCCACAGGACACCCCTGCTGGGGCCTCTCCGTGTGCAGAACAGCACTGCGCCAGGAGCCTTCCGCGCATTTCCTCACTGAACCTGCTTTGAAACCCACAGTGATTGTAAGAAGCCCTTTCATAATGGGAGGCAAAAGCTGGGGTCGTGCGGGGAGGCACTCAGCCAACACTGGCAGGGCGGGACGCGTGCCCCTGGCCTCCTCCAGGGGAGAGGCCGTCTCGGCCAAGCCGTGAGCGAGGTACTCACGGATGAGCGCACACAGCTCGTGGGGCAGCTTCCGGGAGCGGGTGGCCAGCACCTGCCTGCCCACGTCCTCGAAGATGACAGGCCTGGCCTCCAGGTTCATCATGAGCATGGACATCAGCTGGGTCTTGGCCCGCTCCAGCTCCACCTGCGGGGCACACGGCTCAACTCTCAGGGCTCACCGCCGCCCCTCCAGCTGCTCGCCAACAACGCAGCCCACAGAGTGGCCGACGGAAGCGTCCCTGCAAAGGGTCTTCCACATGCCCCAGGCTGAGGGAAGGGAAGACACCCGTAGGCTTGGGCTCCTAGGCAAATCCCGCCACACTTCCTCTGTTTTCTGGGTGGGGCTGGACCTACATTTGGTAGGACCTTCACCGTATTTTAAATAAGGAAGAAATATGCTAACGTTTAAACATTCTTATGTTTAAAAAGTTCGCCATGCAGTGGGCCGGGTGAAATGTCAAACACCCAAACTCCAGGACTCCAAAGCTGGCCACACGTCAAGATCACAAGGAAGACAGACGCGTGCATATGCCGGGGCAGCGCCCAAGTCCCAGGTGTAGGCCTCCCGGGAAACTCTAGGGGGACCCGCTCATCTACTAACCCTGCGACTCGAGCCCCTCGGACCAAGTGTGGAATCTACAGCTCCGTGACGCCAGGGGGTTACGGTTACAATGCTCAGCCTGGGAGTCGACGGTAGGAAAGAGGGGCTGGGCTGGGTGAGAAATGCCAGGCCGGTCGACCTGGGAGCTACCTGACTTGGAGGAACAAATGTCGGAAAACATCCTGGCTACTTAAGAGTCTGTGATTTTTAAGTAAAATAACTTCTAATTTAAAACACATCTTTATTTTTGAAACTTCAGGCAACTACCTTCTCTCAGACTGACTGCACGTTAGAGAAAAAGTTTTTCTAGCAAAACGCTAATGGAACCACCAAGTGTTAATTTTTAAACACATTTTTATTTTTAAAATAATGTTCCTTTTTCTGAACTAAAAAGGGAGTACGTGATTCCTGCAGAAAACATGGAATGTGCAGAAAAGCAGCTCTAAAGGTGAAGGACACCCTTCCACCCACAGGGCGGACAGCTCACGCGCTGGGCTTCACTGCAGCTGCTGGTGTGTATGTGCGCACGCACATGCATGCGTCCATCCATAATGTACATAAAATCGACTTAACTGTGCCAGTTCTGGTGCAGGAAGAAACAAGACTTCTAAACATGTTCAGTATAAAAAATGAAATTAAAAACATGAAACAAAAACTAAGGTTACTAAGGAAAAACTACATACAGCCAGGAAAAAGCTAGAACAAATGCTGAGTGGCCCACACATTTGTACGGTGCTGCCTTAGTTCACTTTGTTTTCCAGGGCGGCTGAGAAGGGCCCAGGACGGTCACAGGACGCACGGGGTTGGTCACAGCACACAGACCTTGTGCTGGGGGTGCCTCTCAGCATGGACACAGGGAGGATGGGCTCCCAGGGCTGCAGGCCTGAGTCACCCCATGGGCCACACTACCCTGGCTGGGGTACTGGCGCTGTGGGCACAGAGAACGGGCCCACTGCCGGCCACCCTACACCATGGTCTCCACCTGTCCAACACTGTGGGGCTGCTGGAAATGGCTCCAGGCCGTACTCACCACGTCCACGGTTCCAGCCATTAAAACAAATTCTCTGGTGATGATTTCCACCATCTCCCGAACCTGTAAGAGAGCGTGGAGCAGAAGAGCATGACCTGAGCCCGACAGCCCGCGGTGCTCCGAAGAAGGCGCCGGCGACACCCGGCTCACCTGTCTGGGGTCAGCGCTGGCATGGATGCACAGGAGGCCCGTGTCCTCATAGCTGTGATGATAGGAGGTCGCATTGTACATCCAGTGGTGCCTGTGAGGAGTGGGAGAGGGGGCCACCAAGAAGGTGGCATCAGGGTCCTGGAGCACCCTTGGCGGGCCTGGAGGGCCCGGGACAGCCAGGGGAGAGCACCCAGCGCACCTGTTGAGCACGTTGAGGTAGAGCCTGGTGAACATGCCCTTGCCGGGCCCGCCTGCTGAGAAGGAGCCGCCGCCCCCCATCATCATGTTCAGCACTGCAAAAGGGATGAAGTCTGCCTCCTGCAGGAGATGGGAGGGCCGAGCTCAGCCGCGAGGCGGCCCTGGCTCCAGGGTGTCCCGTCCAAGCTGCTGGGACTCACCAAGAAGGAGCAGCTCTCCAGCCCTATCATGATGTGCGTAAGCTCCGGGAATGGGGCAGGGCCCAGGCTGACATTGGACATGTCTCTTTCCAGCTGCAACCAAGCAAAATGGATGTGTGCGCGCACATGATAAACCACCAGACCATGCGAACTTCTCAGTCTTAAAAGCAGTTCTACAGAAGCCATCCATGGATGTCAGAAAACTCCCTCTAGAGGCAAGAACTGCCCCCGCCTCAGGCCCAGCTGGACTCTCGTCTCACACGCGCTCAGGGAGTATGTGGCATGCTTCGAGTAATGTGCACTAAGGTAAAGCCACAAACGCACAGCTAATCCTGACACCTTCACAGGAACACACTGAAACGGCGTCAAAGAGAACGTCCTCGACCCGAGGTCCCGGGACCCCCGGCTTTACCTTGGCGATGCCCCCGGTGTACTGCGCCACCGATCTGTCAACCTGCACGGCCGCCTCGCTGCCCCAGGCTGGGCGGTCCCCCAGGAGATGCTTTCTGGCACATTCCACCAGGCGCTCGTGCTCCACCCCCACTCCAGCCAGCACCATGCGGTCGGGGGTGTAGTAGTTTCTCAGGTAGGAATAAAGCACCTCTCGATTGATCTTTGCTATGTTCTCTGTGGGGCAGAAACGGTGCAGGCCAACTGTGTTTTCCCTGTAAGCAGCCTGAATGAGGGAAGCAAGAGCAACGTGAGTGACACCGAGAACACAACCAGGTCTCCGCAAGCGAGCCGGGCCTGCGGTGGCCCTGCCACAGGGGCCCCCACCACACGGGGGAAGCCCGCCAGCTGCTCACTTCAGCTACGGCATGGCAGTAGCAGTCTTGTGTGTTTACAAAAATGGTAAATCTGCTGCTCCAGAGCAAAAGCTCATAAGGTATGCAAAGCAATAGGCTCACTCTAGAGCTCTGTCACTGTAAGAACTGGGATGTTGAAGCCTTGCCTAAATAGCAGATCCAGAGGCTAACACAACCCTCTAAATTGACTACGCTTCAACTTAAAAAACTGAAATGAAGACTGTTCTGTGAGGTGACATCGGCCCAGTGTGAGTGACAGCCTTACCTCGTGGATCATCTCGGTGAGAAGCGGTTCCGGGTCGGGCCTCATGTTGAGGTCCTCCAGCTCAAACTGGACTGCCATTCGGGTCATCTCAATTTCCTCATCTGCAAAGAACCAAAGACAAGGCTCAGATGGAGACTGCCCCGAGCATCACTGGCTGGCGGCTGCTGGCAGGGTCCCCTCTGCCTTTCTCAGGGGCAGACCTGGGGGACACTTGCAGGAGCTGGGGTGAGAGCGCCCTCAGCTATGACCTGAAGGAATTGGGCCCCTCATCAGTCTCTGCCTACTCTGAGCCTTGGCTCCCTCCCCATTAGAGGCACTCAGGACCTTGACGCGTCTGCTGCCAAGAGGATCAAAAATCAGCCTGGGTGTGAAGGTGCTTAGAACACAGAAGCCCAGACCAACATCAGGGGTGCCATGTCATCAGCTACCTAGGACAGGCACCCAGAAAATCGTCATCAGAACTGCAGCCTGGGACCTCAAGGCCACGGTGCTATGAAGCAGGGGTCAGTTAGAGCAGCTGGGACCAATGGCCCAGCCCTTGCTCCTGGCCCACTCCTGCTGGGGAGCTCAAAGTCCTGCAACTTGCAAGGATGAGTAAGGGAAGGGGGATGGGGACGTGGAAACTTTTGTTAGTATGTCAGGCAAGGTCTTTAAAGACAGTCTGAGGTGCCTTTCTGAAATGAAAGAAGTAAGGTCACCACAAATGTCAGAGGACACAGAGAGAAGGATGAAGCACCAAGGACTCTTCTAATCATTGGCATTATTTCTAAGGAGACCCTGCTGTCGCTGACAGGTGAGCCCAAGGGCTCCAGGAAAGCCACGCCCCTCCCTGGGGTGGCGCTTCTCCCAATATTCCATCCCCCAAATCCCTCAAGCAGCCTGAATGCACACCTGTCAGCTGGGGGTGCAGGACCACATCAGCCAGCAAACCAACCACCGTCTCCAGGCCTTTAGAATCAGCAGACACAGCATACATGGTGGTGTCTCTGGAAAACCAACACCGGGCACTGGGCGCTGAGGTCGCGGCAGGTGTCAGCACACGCTTGGTGCCTTTCTCCCTTTCCTGCCTCACAGCATAGGAAACACAGCTGCGTGCTGGCTACGCACTGGGCGGAAGACACTGTCCCGCCAGACCAGAGAGCCAGCTCTGAGAGGACTGCACCAGCACGGGCTCCCTCCAAGGCGAATCATTTCATCCTGTGCTTTCTGAGTGTCCGCTACGTGAACTATCAAGATGGGAACAGGCCTGGCCTTAGGTGGCTGGGGAGCAGAGACTCCCTGTGGCATCAGCTCACAGCGTGGGGCACGAGGATCAGACAGGCACCAAGTCGGTCGGGAGGCACTGGCATGACAACCACACAGCCACAGGACAGAGCAGAGTCAGGCAGGAGCCCACACAGAACAGACATAACCCACGCGGACAGGAGGGAGCCTTCATGGGGAGACACAGCCACCAGTGTCTTTGCAGACAAGGGGCCATTCTCAGCCGGGAGGTGCTGCAGGTCCACGCAGGACAGTGACAGGAATGAAGTCTGAGCTGAGATTAGTGGACGGTGTCAGGGCCAGAACACACAGTCCTGCCTGACCAGAAGGAAGAGCCCTGGGGAGATGGAGGGAGACGGGCTCACATACTGGGCACGCGTCTGTACTGCATTCAAATAGCTGGGAGCCAGGAGCTTCCAAAGACTCTTTTGGAAAATGTGAACACATGGCCTCCACGCTAACTCTAATTCTTTTCTGTGTAATTTCGTAGCATTCAGACTGAAACAACCAACCACGCGTGACCTCTGTCCACTCGTCTTGTTGCCTGACAGAGCTCTGTGAAAGGGGCCCACAGCTGGCAAACACCATCTGCTTGTGCCCACAGCACCCTGCCCCATCTGTGCTCCAGCTACTTACTGGACTTTCCCCCGTCCCCACACACACCACTGCCTCCTCCAGGCTGAGCCTCGGCACCTGCTGCTCCCTAGTCTGAGCCACGGTCCCCCTCACTCCATCCGGCAAATTTCTCCAAGAACCAGCCCCAATGTTGAGTTGCCCTTCCTTTCTTTCCAGACTCCAGACCAAGTTAGTTCTCACCCCACGCTCCCACCACCCTTGGTCCCTGGCTTCTGTGTCTACTGACTAGGGTGCAGCCCTCTGCCCAATCTGTGCACATCTTGGGGACAGGGCCTGCTCGGCATTCCAGGGCCCAGCCAGCAGCCTGGCTCAAACAATAGGGTAAGCAGCCTTCTGGGGACTGCTTGGGCCTCAAAGCGCCTTCCTCTGTGTAAGCGTTGCCACCCATGTGTTCTGCCCACCAGTTCTCCACCCAATTCTCTGCCCAGACCAGGCCTCACTTCTCCCCATCCACCTCCACAGCCTCTCTGATGGGAGGGGCTGAGTGGGACTCTGACCAAGAATGAGAAGAACAGTTTCACCTGATGCAAAATGAGTCTGTATGTAAAAGCTGGTGTACCTCGACGTCTGGCAGTCACAAATACCCCCATGCTTTTCCAAGGTAAGCAGAATTTCATCTTTGCTGCCAAATCGATCAGTAGACTAGAAAGAATAAATAAAAACTAAGTAAGTAATCCAAAACAACCTCTAAAATACAATTTTTAAGAAAAAAATTCCTGTTGCTTTAAAAACACATTGCATCAAATTATCTTTTAACTTAGAAATCTTTCATTAGTGTTAATTTTGCAACTTAATCATCTATTAAAATAACCACTTAAAAAAAGCAAAACTTGACAGATTCCTCCCAGGTATAACCTCAGAAATCACAAGTTGTTGTAAAATGACTATAACGCAATAAAAAAAGTTAAAACAAAAATCACAAGTTGGACACTGACCGAAAATGCCAATTTTTCCAAAAAGTGAGCAATTCCACTAAGATATTTTGCTTCATATCTTGATCCTGAATTAATAAGAACTGGCAATAAAGAGAAAATTGACAAGTAAGTTCAAAGGGGAAGATTGAATCAAGAGAAACCTTTTAAAATTGTGATGACTACATAATCAGATTTAAACAAATGAGATGATGAATAGGTTCACTACCTTACTCAGAATGGTTTCACAGATAAAACACGTACGTATTTACAGAACTGTGCACTTTATACTCGTGGTGGAAAATTGTTAGAATAACAGGAAGAAAGAGGGAAAAAGTCCACCACCAAAACAGCCACCCTTCTTACTTAGTCTACTAAGTTTTCAGATTTTATACCATGCTTTTTCACTCAGGATACAATCCATTAATGATGGACTAATTACAACCGACAGTCAAGTGAAGTGCGTGCACGTTACAGCAAACGGGACCACCCACGACACGGCGAACAGTACAGTACTTACTTCCTACTGTACAGAACTGTCCAAACTTATTCTGGGATGCCACACGAAGCCCATTATCCAGTGTGGTAATTTTGGTTTCAAACTTTTCCTGTCCATCAACTGTAGCAAAAACGGGCTTGGGTACTCCAGGTAAGGGAGAAGACAGGGGGATGTTGGGGTAGGCACCACCACTACTAAACTGTCTGTACGCAGGGGTTCCAAACCTAAAACAGAGACATTAGCCCCGTTACAACAAAATTGAGCCGACAGAACTCGTGGGGACCACCTACGTGAAGGTATCTGTATTCTATCTGTATTACAAGTCAGCCTCTCTCTTCATAAAGGATGTATTTCTACACGTCTCCAGAGATAACACAGAGGGGTAACCAAACACACTACTGCGGGGGACGAATCCTGGCTGAGCCCAGGGGCCTGCCACAAGTTGGCTCAGGTCTTTGGGCCTCAAATGCAACTGTGTGAGATAAAACAGTAATAACGGCACCTTACTCTGAGGGAGGCTGTGTGGGTTAAATCAGCTTTTCCACACAGAGCCCTGCCCTTCCACAGCCCCACTGGAGTGGAAACGGAAACCCCACCTCTTCACCTAGCCTGGAAGGCCATGTGTGGTCTGGCCTCTGACTTATCCAAACTCACCTCCTAACCGCCCATCCCCCAGCTAGGTCTGGTTCACTCTGGCCTGTTAGTCCATTCCCGGAGCACACTGGGCACTTCATCCCCAAAGCTTCTGATCTCACTGTTCCGGCCCACTCTGCTCTCACCTGCACTTTTCACATGGTTGACTCTTCTTTCATTCTTTACCTCTCAGTTTAAATGTCACTTCCTCTGAGATCACCCCTCATCATTCGACTTGAAGTTAGTCTTTCCTGTTTCCCATCACTGAATTCGACTTACGTGCTCCAAAGCTGACACTCTGGGCAGGCTACTATCTACCCTCACTGTCTGGGGACAGCGACGGTGTTTCTGTCCCCATCGCACCCAGGCGCCTACACAGTTCCTGCAGACAGCGCGGTGTCGACACCCATCCCTTGTGTCAGTGAAAGTGCCAAGTGTGGAAAAACGCAGGCCTGGCCACTGGAGCGCGATGGCGGCGGGTAGAGAAAAGGCCAAACAACAGGAGGAGGGAACACGGCACGGCTATCAAGGGCACAGCTTTGGCGACCACAGAATCCTGGCTCTGTGGGCCCAAAGGACCTGAGGCCCCGCGGGCTCGGCCTCATAAGGGGGCACGAGGCCGGAAGGGGCCGCGGCGAGATGACACGTGACCTCGGACAAGCCCCTGTCCGCCCGGGAGGAGACGGCGGGACAGGAAAGCCGGATGGGGCTCGGGGCCCGAGCCCGCGGCGCCAGGCGGGAAGTGCCCACGACGTGTCGAGGACGGGCCTGGGATCCCGCAGTCCCAGTCCGACCGCCTGGCGCCGTGCCTCGGCCTGGGGAAGCCAAAGGTTAAACGTCCAGAGAGACGCGAACCTCCCCAGCCTCCGACCGACCCCTGGCCGGCCCTCGACTCACCTCAGCCGCGAGCGGCCCCAGGAGCTCGAGCCTCGCAGCAGCCGCGTCGCCGCCAACACCATAGCCGCCATCTTGTGTCTCC